ATAATATTTCGCCAGAGAGCGTCGGAAATCGGAACTAATTTATGTGGAAATGAGTTAATTTCCTTTGCCTGAATTGTGTGATTTTCTAGCGATTTCATCGCTGCCATGCCAAAAGTAATTACCAAGCACTTTCCTGCACAGCTCCCGGGGGGCAGAAGAGTGCCCAAATTAGGCTCAAGTTGATGTTGGCTGGCAGTTTTCAAGCTAAATTAATTATGATTTTTGTGTTCAGGTAGGTGGCAAATAGGCACACGCCAGCCTTCTTTTGGCCCATGATTAAAGTTGAAGGATGATCTGGCTCTTTTCCGCTGGCAATTTTTCCCCATTGGTAGACAAACAACCACCGGATCATCTGGCTAAAAAAAGTACGACAGGCTTTATAATATTCCCACAGAATATTTAATTGCCGTAATCCGCTTAAAATTTTTGACAATATTTACTGTGTATGCACTGCATTTATTCCTGTCAAATAAAAATATTACACATTGCTTCAATAAATGCATGCATGATAACAGTGTAAAAAGTTAAGCCAGATATTTCGAAAATTCAATTGCAATGAAAGGATACAATTGTTTAAAACACAAACAAAAATATTAAGTTAACCTAAGATAATCCAACATAGGAAATAACACCCAAGAACACAAGTTTAGGTGGCAAATAAAATAGACAAAGAAAAATAAGTACTTAAAATCAATATGCCTTAAGCTTCTTAATAAAACAATATGAGATTCTAAACAAAAACAAACAATAAAAATGTAATAAAAAGGAAAGGAAAAGCAAAAAATATGCTTCAATTCGGAATTGTTTGAAACGCTTTAATGGCATTAGGAAAAGTTTCGACTCGTCAGCCTCCTGCTCCTTGACATCCGTCTGACATGTCCTGGCCCAAGGTGTCCGAGGGCAAAAGCTGTCAAAATAAAGTTTTACAATTCACGCGCATTACGGACACCACCCGAAAACCGACCAAATGCCGGGTGGTTTGGCTAATTTGAGCCGTGTTTGTTTGACATTTCAGGCGGAACAGCCGCAACACGGGGCAACACGCGTTCCTGTCACTCGGGGTCACTCGAAAATGATGCCAAGTACATGAAAAATGTATAAGCGCCAATTTGTAGACGCTTCCGGGGCGGTCGTCGCCTAATGGAAATGTAATTGTCAATTGTAAGATAAAAACGCTTAAAAACGGATAGCTAAAGTAAGGGATTCCTCTTGAATTGAGTTGATAAATTACGTATATTTTCGCTTAGTCCTTATAATAATGTGTCTGTTAGCTTAAGTTTACAATTTTCTGATATATCGGTTGTGAAATGTATACTATTTAAATTAAAGCTTTTACAAGTTCTGGAATTCTAATATTAACTTACAATATAATTTTCAACATAAATTACTTAATATTAATACTTGTTAACAAAATTCGTGTTTTATTTAAGAAATATGACAATTTCAATACAATTCACAATGTTTATTTCATCAACGATTTGATAATTTAAAACGACAAATTCAAGTTTATAAAAGTATTTATTGGTCAACAATATTAACTTAAGCATTTTTAACCAGTTTCTTTGAAGTAAGGAATATCCTTTCCTGAATTTCTAATAAAAAAGTTTCCATAAACACCTGAGACAGTCGCCACCCGAAAACTCGATGGCCAATTTTCAATTGATTTTCTTGACTTGCTCGGCTGCCTCTTTACCATTCCTGCTTAACATTGACAGATTGTATGCCATTTTTTTGCGTTGTACTTGCAACAATATCGAGGGGAAAACTTTGCCGGTGAAAAGCAGCTGAAACAAGCAGCTGAAAAACTGCTGAAAAACTTTGACAACTTGCACAAAACTTTTACCAGCCGTGTGACATTAGGTGAGAGTTGGCAGAGTCCTTCGAGCCTCCTGCTGCTCAACCCTTGGATATTTGGAACGGCAGCAGCTGAAGCCTTTATTCGTTATAAATCACAATGTAATCATAAATCGCTGCCTGCACATAAATTACAATAAGAAACAAATGACAAGTCGGAGTAGAGTGTTTTCTGTTTCTTTTTTTTGGGGCTGTGGAAACGCTGCAGGACATTCCCAGTGTAATTTGCCCAGTGTCCTGTGGCGAGAAAAGTGTCATCGCTTTTGCGCCTTTTTAGGCAAACATCAATTTGCGGAGGCCTCATGTGAAGTCCAAGGGTGTTTCAAAGATGTTGCTAGATTTCATCTGTGTTAATTTAGGAAGACTTACTTGGCGGAAAAAGTTTACATGAATAATTTACTATTATTTAACTTTCAAACCCATCATGTAATTTTATTAAATTCAAATATATTATAAAGTTAAAAAAATAAGCACTAATCAAATGGTATCTAACATATTTAATTTTGTTCTATACTTTGAGGCTATAACTAATATATATCTTTGAATGCTAGTTCCATTAAATCCACAATCTAGTGCAAAACCCTTTCAGGATACTAAACCAGCTTAACTTCATGACTAATTTAATATATTGTTTCACTTTATAAGCCCTTTATTTAAAAAAAAAACTAGAGGGAGACTTCAAATGGCCAAAGACACTTATTTTATTTTGCATAAGCCGAGCCACAGCCACACCCCATAATTTAGCCACTAGTCAACGCCTCGGGCTTTTTTGGGGGAGGGCCGAAAAAAGATTTGGCTTCCTCCTTGAAGTTGCGAGTGGCACTTTTGCTTTGTAATTTATGCAGCCTAAATGAAAAGCGTTTTTCCAACAACATTTAATTAAGTTCGAGGGTGTGGGGGCACCAAGGTAGAGAATGTTCAAAGTTAAACATGAGAATTAAAATGCCAGGGCCCAAAGTGGAATGTTTTTTTTTTTAGAATGGCCGATGTTCATTTAAATCGTTTTTGTGTTTGGTGAGTTATTTAAAAAGCTCTCACTCACAGAAATACAGTTTCAAGGCACTGAACAAAATTAATCAATATAAATAGAGAAAAACTTTTGATAATTTACATTTTTTATCAGCAAAATATAATATATAAATATTTCTTATAATTAAAATGATTAATGTTTTTATACTCTTTCAGAGTGTATTTATTTATTTTTATTTATTATGAAATAAGAATTTTTCTAACATAGGAACTTATAGTACTATCTAGATATTAATTGAAAATAACTTGTTTAATTTTAGAATAATGATTTATATTGTAGTATTGGCACATAAATTATAGATATTTAAAACTATGTTCCGATTATTTAAAAAACCAAATAAAGTTAATTTTTAAAGCAAACGTTTTTCCATTTATATTTTTTTATGTTTTTTTAAGTTTGCTAATCTGAACTTAAAAATATTCGTAAGTGTCCTGATTGATTTCTCGCAGTGCACCCAACTATATGCCATAGTGGAAAACCAATCAAAATACCTGCTCCTCGGCTTGACCCCTGGGAATTGGCAAGTGGGGCCAATGACTAGCGCAGGGATCATCATTATCCTCGTCATTATCAGCAGGAGTGGCAATGGCGGCAAAGGAATTGGGTCGTTGTTGGTTTTAATGTGCCTCGGTTGCCACTTTTGCTGTTATCAGCAGCGTCAATGTTTGGTGATAACAGCTGGCGGCAGCGCAGCAGCAGCGCCGGCCGAAACAACAACAAAGCACATCCTGCGCAGCGACTGCGACGCCGACAGCGCAGCATCGGCTAATGGGCGAAAGCAGCGCTGTAATCCTGTATCTGTGCGTGTGTGAGTGGGCCGTGCTATATGTGTGTAAGTAGGGCTAGAATATGTGGAGCAAGTTGCGCTTTGTCCGCTGCCAGGAATTCGTGGATTCTGAATATCGACGAGCGGAAATCCGAGGGACAGCATCGGAATTCGGCTGTGGCTCGGCTTCCTCCTGGCAGCGCAGGCGCAGGAGAGACTCGAGAGAGCTGGAGAGAACTGGAGAGCCACGGTGAGAGATAGAACCGTGACTGTTTCACTTCCGCTTCGGTGATGCTGCTTTTGAAAGTCCTGTTAACTCCTTACAGAGCTGCGCCCACTGTTCTGTTAAATTAAAGGGTCCTGAGAAGGAAGACCTTTACTTAGAGAAATCATTAAAATTGATATGGGATAATACAGAAATCCATCATTCTGATTATAAAAATAGGATATTATAATAGGATATATTACAGACATATGTTAAAGGTAAAAATAATTTTTTGGTTTCGATTAAATCAAATATTATTAGATATAATTTTTTGATTGTCCTTAAAACTTCATTTTAACTCTCAAGATATTGTTGGTTTTACTTGATTTGAATATCTCCTTTCTACAATAAACTCTGAGCTAAGGGGCTAGATACAATTTTTGTAAAAGGTTTTAAAGCATAGTTTTTGAGCTCTTTAAGTTTTTTTTATCCACTTGATAGCAAGCCAGGATTAATCCAGGAAACAAGTATATTTTATATATCGGGTAATTACTATAAGAAATCTTTTATTTGCTTAATTTTACCTTTAATTAAAAACTAATCAAAGTTGTTATTATAATAAACGCATTTCCGTTTTCTTTTTCATTATTGTTTAAAAACCCATTTTAAAACTACACAAAAATTGCCATAAATCCACGGAAATTCCTTTATATCACCCAGCTCTGGCTGTTCCGTTTCCATCGCGTTCCGCATTGCTCTGGCAAAGGAGCAACACCAACAGTCCAACAGCAACACCAACAGCACGGCGGCAACACATTGCATTGTACGAGCAATTTTACAGCCGTGCAACGTCGGAAAATGCCGATGCGCTACGCAAATTGCAGGCTTCGTCGTGGAAAACGGAAAATGCCCTCCTCGGGTCGGCGCTTTCTCTCTTCCGCCGCCCGTGAAACTCGCTCTCTTTCTCGTGCTCGCTTAGCCGAGATTTTCCTTCATGTTGCTGCTGCGCTGCTGCTGCTGCTGCCGCTGCTGCTGCTGCTCCTGTCGCTGCTAGTGCTGCTGCTGCTGCGAAGGACTTCTGTATTTTTGGGGCTGTGCTGTTGGTCCTTGGGCCATCGCTCGTTCAGTCGTCGTTGCGTGTTGTAGGTGGCCAGGTCTACTCAGCTCCGTTTTGACTGCTCCTCCTCCAACTGCTACTACTACTGCGTCTGCTGCTGCTACTACTGCTGCTGCTGCATCTGCAACCTGCAACACTCACACCCACGCACCACCACGGCATCAGAAGTAGACGCGTCGCGTTCAGTCTTCGTCCTGCAGCTTAACGTCATGTCGCGTAGTGTTCGGCCCAAAAAAATAAAACAAGCCCAGACTGTAAGGTGACTGAACCGATCCTTAGCCCATCACCATCCTCTTCCCCACTCAAGTGCCGTGGATGTGTGTCAATTAAAAAGTCTCGTCTCAGTGAGTCGCGTGTTTAATTTGCGGCACGTTTCCCACACACACTCACTATCAATTTAATTAAAACGCCACAGACAGACCCATAAATATCTTCCAACAAACCCACCCAAACAATTCACCGAATCAAACTAAAAATTAAACACAATATTGCGGTAAGTTTTAGCTCACATTATTTTGTACTAATCAACAAATGGCAATCATATAAATGGTAAATTGCATTTTATTAGCTGTGAATTTGTTGATCCTGATGAATTTATTTGCTGCGGTTACTGGCCGGGAATGCCAATTGCATTTTAATTAATTAAGTTTTTGTTCGTTTTTTTTTTTGGTCTAGTTTTTATGCGTGAGCTTTGTTTAATGATATGAGAAATTCAATTATTTTTGTGGCGGAAATTTGCGGGAAATCTAATCAGTTGCATCGAAAGGTAGTTAGTTTGCAATGAAGTTAATTGGTATTGAGAATATCAGAAAAGTAAGAGTAAGTAAAAGAGCTTATAAAAAATATAGATTCACAAGTCATTTGTAATAAATGTACATAAAAAAAAACAAGTTATAGCATTTTACCTAACAAAATATTTTAAAAAAGCTTTAATATTATTTTTTTTTCTTAAAAATTTTATTATAGAAAATATATCCTAAGAAAATATAAAACACAAATTTTCAGATAAAAATCAAGACTAAGTTGGTTTCTTATATTATATATATTTTGTAACGAAATTGCAAAGGAAAATTTATTACATTTTGGTATTATATTGTGGAAACATTATTAAATTCACAAACTCCAATTCTTTTCGACAAGAGAAAATTGTTTAAAATTAACTCAAGCGTACGCTTTTAATTTTCTTTTTTTTGGCCCCGCTGCACACGAAACAAATTTCATTAGAGCGCAAATAAATCAGCTTAGAGTGGGCAATAAAAGCCAAGGAAGTGCCTGAGAGTTTCATGAAAAATTACAATGCATTACGCATACGCCAGGTGCGACAAATGTGTGCAAAGAAGCGTGGCGAACGCGAGCAAAATAAATGGCTGCTTCTGCGTATATATAACCGACTTTAATCAGTTGCCAACTCGTTGGCAGACATTTAATTAGAAAAATCAGCGGCATTAAATATTTCTTGGCTTGGCTAGCAGACATTCCTCTCGTCTATTCCAGACTGACTGTCATTACACAGAAAATTATATGTGCTCCGTTTTTAGAGCCGGCTGACAGCCAGCAAGACGGGCCCTGACAGAGAGGATATACATCTGGGCAAACGCGTGTTGAAATGTAAATAAAACAAAGGAAAAGCAGGAAGCTGGGCGAGAAAGTACGGCGAACACAAGAATGTATGTAAAATAATAAAAAGCGACATTTACGACATAACATGGCAGCATATTACACGGAAAGCAGGCGGAGCAGGAGGAGCTCTAAACTGAGCCTCAGTCGCACTGGCACACACTGCGTATACGTATTCGCATTACAATGTTTCGCACTGATTGTTCTTTGCGAGGATTTTCCCTCCCCTTCCACCGTTTGCCATGCAAATGTATACAAAGTAATTATGTACATCTGTGTGTGTTTTTCTACTACTCAAATAATTGCCAAACCACACACGCAGCTCAGTCTTCGTTGGCTGCCAGGCAACAAAACGGCTTTTAAAAGGCATAAAAACAACAGGGTGAAATCAAATTAACGAACAGGCAATGCTCTACAGAATTTCAGTGCCTACCTTGAGGTTAAATGTTCTTTTTTAGCTTATTATATTTATTTATTTATACACAAAGTATATTAAAAAAAAAGACTATACCCCTTACAATAGATATTAAAAAAAAAAGTATTAATAACGATTATTAAATAAAACACGCGTAGAAACATAGAAGGATTTAAAAATAAATTAATTTGTTTCAGATTGTATTTATTACTTTTTAGTACGAAAAAATGTTGAGACATATTTTTAATTAAATAAAATAAATTGTTTAAATTATATTTTTGCATTAAAGTACCATTTTTAAACCAAGCCTCAAGGGCTATACTCAGAACGCCATTTAAGAGTATCAGACTTGCTTGAAAAACATTGTATCTTATTAACTAAACAAGGTTGTGTGCTATGTGTTACACACCCAGACACGCCCCCCTTGTCGCCTTGTTGCAAAAATATTCAAAGTATTGTTGGCAGTAATTTTGGGATACTTTTCAGGGGGACAATAAAAACAAGAACAACACAGCCAGACGAAAAACAACATGGAAAAGTTTCGTCAGAGCATACGCCATGAATTTTCATTTAATTAGGCCGCCTTTTCGCTCCAACCCTGCATTTTTACAGCCTCCCGACTCATCCTTTTGATGGTTAGGAAAACTTGTGAAAAAAAAAGTGTATATTGCAGACGAAATGAAGGAAAGTAGAAACCCTTTTCGCCTTCATTGTTTGCATGGGCTCGAAGGTTCGCAGTTGGGGGGCTGCAAACACTTTCAAATGATTTCATTTTCCGAGAAAACCACACAAAAGGAAAGGCGGAGAAAAGCTGACCAATTTGTAGGCCAGGTTTTTCATCTACTATCATCAACAACCACAGCCAGGACAGACATTGAAACCAATTAATTTTAAATTGTTTCCAGGCCCGGCCTTCATTCGACATCGTCTCCCTTTTGTCTGAATAATGAGCGTTCAATTTGCAAAAGGTGTCGATGGGGAAAGGTTTTCTTTGGTCGGCTCTGCTTTTCTTTTTCTTTCAACCTTTTGTTTGGGCTATCTATTTTCAGGGGCTAATTGAAGTCTGAATGCCGGCAGACGGAAAACCGCAAAAGGTCGTTACGATCCTGGGGGATATGGACTCTTCAAACCACCCTATATGAGTTTCTTTCAGCAGCCCATAAAAGTAGGCAATACAATTTCCAAGTTTTTTTTTCCCCTGCCCGTTTGCCTCGTTTTCCTCTTTGAAATTTTCACACATGATTTTTTCATAGACCAATTTGCACACATTATAAGTTTGCAACCGCAAATTGCCACACCCCTTCAGGCCAGACCGACAACAAAAACAGAAAGCAAACCGAGAAAATAAACTTTTAGCAATTTTCCTTTTGTGTTGGGGCGTAGGAATTTCCAAGTGCTTATAAACAGGCTCCTGTTTCTCAGCTCCTCTTGAGCGCAAAGTAAATTTCTATTATGGCCCGAAAACAATTTGTGTAAAAATAGAAGTTTAAGTGGACGGAACTTTCTTCGACCAGAGAGATAGACCTGAGCTCTATCTATTGGTATAAATATTACTTTATATTGTATGTATATTTACTCTTTATATTATTGTATTTTATCAAAGCTCGGTATTTAAAATTCTATATTTTTCACGAAAAGCGAATATATTTCTTCCTGTGTGCCCATAAGGCCCTCAAACGAGCCAACGCAACTAACTAGACAAGCAAGCAATTATTTGCTACTTTGACTACCCTTGCGTAAATGAAAGCTGGGAATTATCAGCAAACACACAAGCAGATTAGGCGAGAAGGACTCTTCGCTAGTCTCCAAATCCTGTGAAGCGTATGGACAGCCCACAACACTCGCCATCAACCCAAATGTCTTCATATATTTTCGGGTGGACCCCAAGCCACAAGACCATAAAATTAAACTAGTGCATAATTAAACACTCGCAATTAGGCGTAATTTACTTGGTGTGTGCGGGTGAGTATTTAAGGGTGTATGTCTGTATATCTTCCAACCCCACACTTTCGCCACATTAGTTTTTAATTAAAAAATTTCCAAGCTCACAATTTGGGAACCTTTTGCTGCCCGTCACTCTGACATTGCACTTTATTCGAGCATTTAATTGAAGACCCTTCTGGGTAGCAATTGTTTTTGGGACACAATCTTTGGCAGTTGATTTTTGCGCCTCGTTGATCCCCAAAGTTGAACCAAATGAGGCAGCAAAATGTTCATACACATGTCGTTTAGATAAGAAAGTGCTTGGAAAACAAGCTGAGTAAGAGGAAAAACTATGCAGAGATAAGCAGCAAATAAAACAAAAGAAAAGCCAACAAAGCATAATCAGCAAGAAACAAAAAGTCAAAAAGTCAAAGCGCCGTGGATTCCTTGTAAACAATTCCGAGTTGTAATAATTAATCCAACAGATTTACAGCACAGAACTTTTCGCGAAGCGGTTTCATTACTCAAAACTTCGGCTAAGACAGTGGGGAAAGCGGAAAAGCTTATAGCCGGATTTTCCCGGCGGACCGCGACTTTGTTGTTCTTATTGCTTAATGCCAAGACAGCTTATTTTTTATGCAATGCCAATGCCGCGATAGCAAACAGCAAGGAAACTGCTGAATCCAACTCTAATTGTACTCAGTATGCGGATGGACAAACCGACTTCGCGACTGACAGCCATTCATTTAAATTCCAAGAAAATGAATCTCATTTTTGCTGCTGCTGGCAAGTCAAATATTTATGCAACGAGAGGAAGCTTCCCCATTGCAAGTAAATTAATTAACGAAAAAACAGCTCAGAGGGTTGTGAATACTTCTCAAGGTGGCCGAGCGCATCTAAGCCGATTTTCCCCATCGCAAAAGTGGGCAAAGTCCTGTCTTAATTCTGGTTTTCTGAATCCGACCGCCTCCTGAGATTTGCATTAGCATTTTGCACTGCCAATTGTTTTGGGCCCGGCCTAATTGACAGCTGACAAGATAATTAAGGTTAATTAGTGGCCTAATTGATACGAATGCGTTGAAAAGTGTTAAGGCGAAATGAAGAGAGAATATTAATTTAGCACTATTTCTGGAAAGAGTTAATGTAAAGGTAAAATTAACACAAATTAGATTTAATAGAGGTGAAAAATTTAAATAAAGGAAGGGATTCAATAGACATTTTAAGGAAAGGAATACATAAATATATAGGCAAAATATATACCAACAGTACGTAAATTTCCAAATAAAAGCGTCACAAACACTTTCAATTAAAAAGTTAAAATAACATTTCCTTTATCTGTGACTTATTGTGAGTCGTGAATGACGGCCAAGGAGGAAAATAAATAAGCCACCAATAGCGCCATCGATCAAGTGTGTGCTTATCACGATTGCTGCCTCTTTTTCCAGCTGAGACGGGTCGTTGGCATTTATTTTGGGGACTGCCCAAAGCCTTCGTGTTTTGCCCATTTGTATTCGTGTTAAAATCAAATATTTTATCAT